AATAGGACAGCCTCAGACTAGTCCTCTTGGCTTCTAGGGAAGAGTTCAGGCTCATTTATTGGTCTTGGCGGCAATCCAGGGTATCCACAGAATTCCCCTCCTGCACTACATTTTAAATGAGTTGATTCTAAAGTAAAGTAAAGGTTTCACCTGACATGAAGTCTACTTGTGTCTGACTCTGAGGGGTTGTGCTCTTCTCTGCTTCTAAGCCAAAGAGTCCGCATTGTCCATAGACATCTCCACGGTCATGTGGCCAACATGACTGCATGGAGCACTGTTACCTTCCCGCAGAAGCTGTACCTATTGATCTACTCACACTTGCATTTTTTCAAACTGCTAGGTTGGCAGAAGCTTGGGCTAACAGCAGGAGCTCACCCCACTCCCCGTATTCGAACCGCCAACCTTTTGGTCAGCAAGTTCAGCAGCTCAGTGGTTTAACCCGCTGTGCCACCAGAGTTGATTTAAATATGCTGATTATCTTGGCCTAACAACACAAGCAAAAGAATTTGAAACAGTCAAAATCCAGCTTACTAATACCTTGAAAGATCTTTCCAGCTACTTCAAAGTTAACCACCTGAAGCCTAACCCTGCCAAGACACAAGTGTGTGCTTTTCACCTACAGAACTGTGAAGCCAACAGGAAATTGAAAGTTACCTGGGAAGGTCAAGAGCCTGAACACTGTTCCCATCCTAAATATCTTGGTGTCACCTTAGATTGAACACTAACATATAGGAAACATTGCATGAACACCAAGCACAAAATAGATGCATGTGATAACATCCTGCAGAAACTTACTGGCAGCATGTGGGGTGAAGACCCCAAATTAATAAAACATCAGCCCTGGCCTGGTCTTACTCAACTACAGAGTATGCCAGCCCTGTTTGGCACAAGTCTGCCCATGTGAAGCAGGTTAACATAGCATTGAATGAAACATGCAGAATAATCACAGGATATCTTAAACCTACACCTGTTGATAAATTCTACAAACTAGCTGGCATTGCCCCCTCCCCCCCGGGATGTGCGATGGGAAGTTGCTGCTAACTATGAGAGAAATAAGGTTGAACACTGTGACAGTTCTGCATGGCTATCAGCCTCCTCCCAGTAGACACAAATCAAGGAAAAGCTTCATGAGAACCACCATTCCTCTTTATGTTTTCCCAGCAATTTATTTATATTTATTTAATTACGACATTTATATGCTGCCCTTCTCACCCTGAAGGGGACTCAGAGCGGCTCACAAGATATATATACATACAATATATTACATTATTAGCATAGTACAATATCAGTATTGCATATTACTATATTGTACTATACAATTATATTGTAATATTATTTGTAATATTACATGTAATATAAATACATAATTGTAATACCATATTATTATTAGTATTATATTGCATTACATTATAATATAAATATTATATGTATATACAATATATTATATTATATTATTAGCATAGCACAGGAGCAAGAGTATCCCTCTGGGCAGCTAAACCAGGAAATCCAAACTGGATGCCCCCCCCCCCCCCCAATGAGGGTTTTCCTCCAGGGGCAAACCAAGAATTGGCAACTTGGAAGTCTCCGAACTGCCTCAGAAGTGAAGTGGGCAGATGAAAAGACAACTTGGCAAAAATGGTACTACCTAAAAGAATCCCACACCTTGTGACACTGTGAAGCAGAACAGACAACTCTGCATCTGTATGCTTGTCCACAATGCCCTGCCTCAGGTACAGAGGAAGAATTGTTGGAGGCTACAGACAGTGCTGTTGCTGTTGCCCATTTCTGGTCAAAAGATATTTAGCTGCTTGTGCTCCTTCTATTTTTATCAGTTTTATACTAATTTATGCAATGCTTTTGATACAAAATAAATGACCAGAGTTGATTGTATTATTATTATTATTATTATTATTATTATTATTATTATTACTACTACTACTACTACTACTACTACTACTTTGCTTTTTCCTCTCCACAAGGAGACTCTTCTGATCTTTCATCACTGTCCAGCTTTCCAAATCTATATAAATAAAAATGTAATGTTCGTTTGTGGGATTAACATAACTCAAAAACCACTGGATGAATTGATGTGAAATTTGGACATTACAACCCTAACAGCCCAACAAGTGACCATCACTCATACCCCCCCCAAAAAAAACAGTGGAAAGGACTTTAAAACCCCCAAAAGGCTAAATGACAATGCAGTACATGTGTGAAAATGACAGCTCCCAGCATCCCCTAGACCAGGCCCTTTAGGGAAGAAAGATGCTCCAAATGAAAGCATGACAGGCAGTGGTGGCTGAAGCAATAGGCAAGATACGCATTTGCGTATAGCGCGAATCTCTGAGGGGCGCTCTTGAGGCACCCCCACATACACACATCAGGCAAGGCATGAGAGAGAGAGAGGCAGGACTCTTGTGGGTCCCTTGCAGCTGCCGTAGTACTTGTAGACCAAAAATAACAACAAAAACTTGAAATTGTTGCTAAGTTTAATAAAATATTTGCATTCTAAAAAGTTAATTTGTGTTAATTCTATGTAATGTAACTATATGAACATAATGTTGTAAGTAAATTTCTGGTTTGTAGGGTAACTCTTTTATTCACCTCAACCTTCTACCTTTTAGTTTTCAGTTATTGGTTTGGGTGGGCGGGGCGTGCCAAAATACTGTTTGCTTATACTTGAAAATTATCTAGGGCCGGCCTGGACCTTCCCACCTTTAGTATTCAATGATCTATTGCTCTCTCTTTTCCAAGAAGAGCTTTCCCTACTTCTTGGCAGGGGGTTGGATTGGATGGCTGATGAGGTCTCTTCCAACTCTATGATTCTATACACTTCAAGGTCTTGTCTAGTTGTGCAACCCCCTCAAAATAAAACAGAGGAGCAAATTTTCAGAGGGTGAAGGCTGGCTTGTTGTTGCTTATTCTTTCAGTTGCTTCTGACTATTCGTGACCTCATGGACCAGCCCACGCCAGAGCTCCCTGTTGGCCGTCACAACCCCAGCTCCTTCAAGGACAAGCCAGTCACTTCAAGGAAACCATCCATCCATCTTGCCCTTGGTCGGCCACTCTTCCCTTTTCCTTCCATTTTCCCCAGCATCTTGTCTTCTCTAAGCTTTCCTCTCTTCTCATGATGTGGCCAAAGTACTTCATCTTTGCCTCTAATATCCTTCCCTCCAATGAGCAGTTGGACTTTATTTCCTGAAGTATGGACTGGTTGGATCTTCTCACGGTCCAAGGCACTTTCAGAAGTTTCCTCCAACACCACAGTTCAAAAGCATCTGTCTTCCTTCGCTCAGCCATCCTTATGGTCCAGCTCTCACATCTGTAGGTCACTACGGCGAATACCATTGCTTTTACTATGCAGATCTTTGTTGCCGGTGTGATGTCTCCACTCCTCACTATTTTATTGAGATTGGTCATTGTTCTCCTCCCAAGAAGTAAGTGTCTTCTGATTTCCTGGCTGCAGTCTGCGTCTGAAGTAATCTTTGCACCTAGAAATACAAAGTCTGTCCATGTTTTCTTCCTCTATTTTCCAGTTATCAATCAGTCTTGTTGCCATAATCTTGAGTTTTGTTTCATGTTTAACTTCAACCCAGCTTTTGCACTTTCTTCTTTCACCATGGTTAGAAGGCTCCTCAGCTCCTCCTCGCTTTTGGCCATAATAACATAATAAAAATCCATATAAAAATGATGAAAACTATAATCACCAATGTATTCCAGTTAAACTCATTTTCCATTTGCATCATTTAAACCAGGGGTCCTCAAACTTTTTAAACATAGGGCCAGGTCACAGCCCTCAAACTGTTGGAGGGCCGATTATAATTTGAGAAAAACATGAACGATTTCCTATGTACACTGTATATATCTTATTTGTAGTACAAAAACACTTTAAAACAATACAATAATTAAAATGAAGAACAATTTTAACAAATATAAGTTTATTAGTATTGCAATGGGAAGTGTGGGTCTGCTTTTGGCTGATGAGATAGGATTGTTGTTGTGTGCTTGGTTAACCCTGAGCAAGGGACAGGTAAATGATCTTGGAGGACCATATTCAGCCCCCGGGCCTTAGTTTGAGGACCCTTGGTTTAAACCATTCCAAGTTCACTCATATCCAGAGAGCACTCTACCCAGACGATGATGTACCTGGACCAAACTTTGCACACAGACCCAAAATGGCCAACTTTTAATACTGGCAGGGTTTGAGGGGGATTGACCCTGTGATTCTGGGAATTGTAGACCACCCACCCCAAACAGAGAATACCTAACACCCAAAAACAAACAATACATTTCTCAAATAACCTGGGCATCGCAGGGTCCCCGAGCGAGTCATAAATAGAAATGGGAAAGTATTGCCGAAGGCTTTCATGGCCACAATCACTGGGTTGTTGTAGGTTTTTTTGGGCTATATGGCCATGTTCTAGAGGCATTTCACCTAGCTCCAGCAGACAAGAGTCCTTTGTCCCACCCTGGTTATTCCACAGATATAAACCCCTTTTCCTAGTTCCAACAAATCTCACTACCTCTGAGGATGCTTGCCATAGATGCAGGCAAAACGTCAGGAGAAATGCCTCTAGAACATGGCTATATACTATAGCCCGAAAAAACCTACAACAACCCAGAAATGGGAAACGCCATGGCCTGGACCTTCTCAACTTTAGTATCCAATGATCTCTCGCTTTCTGTCTTCTAAGAAGCGATTTTCCTGCTTCTTGTGGGTTGGACTGGATGGCCCACGAGGTCTCTTCCAACACTATGGTTCGATGCACTTCAGGGTCTTGTCTAGTTGTGGAACCCCTCAAAATCAAACGGAGGAGCAAGTTTTCAGAGGGTGAAGGCTGTAGCAACTCATCTCTTTTCTACTTTTCTCTTTTAGCTTTAATTTCCTGAGTTCAAGGAGGGCCACGGTCTCCCCCTTGCAGTCCCCGCCTCCGGGCGAGGCTGAGCCAGGGCTGCGGGGAAGAGGCGGCCTTGGTCGGTCTCCTGGGCTCCCTCCGGGGCGACCCGCTTCCCTCCCTCCCTCCCTCCCTCCCCAAGTCCCTGAGCGTTAGTAGTCCCGCCAGCCGCGCCCTGGCCTTCCAAGCCCAAAGGAAGAAGGGACGGCCAGAAGGAGGAGAGACAGAGAGGGAAGAGGAGGGGGAAGGGAAGGGGAAGGAAGAAGCGGAGAGGGGAAAACAAAGCGCGTGCACGGGGAAAACTTGGGGGACGTGAGCTCCAAAGAGCAGGGAGAAAGAAGGAAAAAGGAGACCCAGAGAAAGGAGAGGCCGCAAGTTTCCTGGGGGAGTTTGCGGAGTTGTGCGCGGAGAGGGAAGAGGCAACAAAGAGGAGAAGAGGCTGCTCAAGGGGGCGAGGAGCCCAAAAAAGGGAAGGAGAAGCTGAGCCGCGGGAGGAGGGGGCTCCGCGCTCCATACGCCCTCCTCTTCGCGTGGGGGGACCCACTTCTCCTCCTCCTCCTCCCCCCTCGGGGCTTGGCCCGCACTTGGCCAGGCTCCCCTTTGTCCTCGCCTCCTCCTCCTCCTCCTCCTCCCTTCTGCGCGCTCGCTTCCTGGGCAGAAGAGAGACGCCGCCAAAGCCAGCCTGTTGTTGTGGAGGTCTCTGCCGGTGGGGAGAGGCCATGGGGTCCCCTTGGCTGGGCTTGGCTCTGCCGCCGCTCCTCCTCCTGCTCCTGGGGGGCCCGATCCCGCGCCTCGCCCGCGCCCAGGACCAGGACCAGCAGCCCTCCTGCCACGGCGCCTTCGACCTCTATTTCGTCCTCGACAAGTGAGTGCAAGCAAGGAAGGGGCCCTGTGGGGGTGGCGGGTTGCGGTGGGAGAGAGAAAGAGAGAGAGAGAGAGAGAGAGAGGAGAAGAAACCCCCAAATCGGAGCCCTGGGGAAGCCGAGGGTCTGCCTGCCCAGCCCACCAGAGCCTTCTAGGCTCCTTGCAGCATTTCTCGTGGCCTCATCACACTAGAGCAGTGTTTCTCAACCTGGGGGTGTCAGAGGGGTCACCAAAGACCATCAGAAAACAAAGTATTTTCTGTTGTTCATGGGGGTTCTGTGTGGGAAATCTTGCCCCAATTCTGTTGTAAGTGGAGAGCAGAATGTTCTGTGATTGGAAGTGAACTATAAATCCCAGCAACCACAACTCCCAAATGTCAAGGTCTATTTCCCCCAAACACCTCCACATTTGGACATATCGAGTATTTGTGCCAAGTTTGGTCCAGATCCATCATTATTTGAGTCCACAGTGCTCTCTGGATGTATGCAAACTACAACTCCCAAACTCAAAGTCAATGCCCACCAAACCTTTCCAGTATTTTCCATTGGTCAGGGATGTTCTGTGTGCCAAGTTTGGTTTAATTCTCTCATTGGTGGAGTCCAGAATGCTCTTTGATTCTAGGTGAACTATAAATCCCAGCAACCACAACTCCCAAATGTCAAGGTCTATTTTCCCCAAACTCCTCCAGTGTTCACATTTGGACATATTGAGTATTTGTGCCAAGTTTGGTCCAGATCCATCATTATTTGTGTTCACAGTGCACTCTGGATGTAGGTGAACAACAACTCCCAAACTCAAGATCAATGCCCACCAAACCCTTCCAGTATTTTCTGTTCGTCAGGGGAGTTCTGTGTGCCAAGTTTGGTTTAATTCTCTCATTGGTGGAGTTCAGAATGCTCTTTAATTGTAGGTGAACTATAAATGCCGGCAACGACAACTCCCAAATGTCAAGGTCTATTTCCCCCAAACTCCTCCAGTGTTCACATTTGGACATATCGAGTATTTGTGCCAAGTTTGGCCCAGATCCATCATTATTTGAGTCCACCATGCTCTCTGGATGTAGGTGAACTACAACTCCCAAACTCAAGGTCAATGCCCACCAAACCCTTCCAGTATTTTCTGTTGGTCAGGGGGGTTCTGTGTGCCAAGTTTGGTTTAATTCTCTCATTGGTGGAGTTCAGAATGCTCTTTGATTCTAGGTGAACTATACATCCCAGCAACTACAACTCCCAAATGACAAAATCATCCCCCCCTAACCTCACCAGTATTCAAATTTGGGTGTATTGCGTATTTGTTACCCAGTGGGTTTTCATGACAGCAGAGATTCAAACTGTGGTGTCTGGTGCAATAGGGGAAAGACAACAACTTCACCACACTAGAACAGTGGTTTTCAACCTGTGGGTCCCCAGATGTTTTGGCCTTCAACTCCCAGAAATCCGAACAGCTGGTAAACTGGCTGGGATTTCTGGGAGTTGTAGGCCAAAACACTTGGGGACTCACAGATTGAGAACCATGTGGTGAAGTTGTCGTCTTTTCCCTACTGCTCCAGACACCAGGGTTTGAGTCTCTGTTGTTTAGTCATGACAATCCACTAGGTAACTTTAGTCAAGTCACACCCTCTCAGCTCTAGAAAACCCCACCACAGCTTTAACTTAGGGTTGTCACATGTTGGAAATGACTCCAAGGTACACAACAACAGCATATAAGTTTATCACTTTGGAATGAATGAAAGGCAAGGATCTTCTGTTACTGCCTTACTCTCTTGTTTGCTTGGTATGCAATGCCAAACTCTGGCAGTCCTTATATATGTAGTGTCACATACATGGATTTCTAGGCAGAAACATAGAGACACAAGGACACATTTCTGAATGTAGTATTTTAGCACAGGATGGAAGGATTTGAATCTATAGCTGAACAAAGCTTTGCAAAGTTACTCTTTGAGATGACCCTGGCAAGCAGATCTTGGGACTTGCAGTCAGAAAAGTTTCTTTCCCAAGTCTGAGGATCTGGATGCTACTTCTGGGATCTCGGCCTTGTTGTTTCCCTGAGAGCTCTTTCCTCCTCACTGCTCCTATCTTTAGAGCTTATCAGAGGCTGGTCCGATCTTGTTTGAACATTCATTTAGGCAAATGTGCTTTGGATCACATGTTCAGCTGGCATGCCTGTGGTTTCTATTTGCACCAATAGCTCTACTTAAAAATATTAGAAGCCTGTTTTGTATATTTTGCTGTAGCATGCTTTGTGTGCTGGGGTGTCTGAGGGCATTCTTTGCCTTTGACTGGCATCCATTGCAGAACTCTAAATATAAAGGTGCATGCTTTTTCCCAGTTGTTGAGAATCCTTCCTTAACTATGACTGTCATTTTCCTTACAGGGAGTAACTACTGTTAACTATCCTGCTTGTCTACAGAGGCCTTCAGTGGTACAAAAGGAATAACAGCAGCCCTACTCATTTAGAGGTCTGACACAAGCAGACCATACAACTTTTTGAAAGTTTATGGCTAGGTCACAATTTCTGTCTTTCCATAGCTCATTAGATGGTAACCCTACTCCAATAAGTATGGCTAGGTCACAATTTCTGTCTTTCCATATTTCATTAGATGGTAACCCTACTCCACCTATCTGCGTGACCGCATTTCTATGTACGAACCTACACGATCTCTTCGATCATCTGGAGAGGCCCTGCTCATGCTCCCACATCCTTCGCAGGCGCGATTGGTGGGGACGAGGGAGAAGGCCTTCTCAGTGGTGGCCCCCAACTCTGGAACTCACTTCCCAGGGACATCAGACATGCCTAACTCTGGCAGTCTTTAGGAGGAGTCAGAAAATGTGGTTGTTCCAGTGTGCCTTCCCAGAATAAAGAAACTCTCAGCAATATGGCCTCAAAATGCACTTTACCACTGATTTAGGACTGACTGCGTTCCCTCAATTCTCTCTGAAAATCCTATCCCAGTTATATCCTACCTTGTTCATGTCAGCATTATCTTTTAATTTTAATCTATTACATTTGGCCTGGTTTTAAATGCTTGTATGTCACTGTTGATTGTTTATTGCTTATGTTTTGTTTATGTGATTTATATGAATTGTATTGTATTGGTGGTTTTATTGATGTTTTGTTTATTGGTGTATTATGGGCTTGGTCTCATGTAAGCTGCACCAAGTCCCTTGGGGACATGGTAGCGGGGTACAAATAAAGTTATTATTATTATTATTATTATTATTATTATTATTATTATTATTAAAAGTATGCAACTGCTATATCAGTGGTTCCCGACCTTTTTTGACCAGGGATCACTTGATCAGGGACCACTCTCCAACATAGTACCGAAAGGGTGACAAATCAATTTTTGATCAACTTTAGATTTGGTTTTGGGAGGCAGATTCAGAAAATTGTGTTGGATAGACCATATCAGCTCTAGTGCCTGATACAGAACATTTACCATCCAGCAGTCACCATCTGCTTGTCAAAGAAAACCATATTTAATAAGCTCTGGCACTATAAAAGGGCTTTGTGAGACCAGTCACTCTTGTTGCAACGGTGTAGTAATAGTAAGGTTGCTGACCATATTTTAGTTCTTGTGGACCATTGGTGGTCCATGAACCACAGGTTGGGAACCACTGTGCTACATGGATCTTAGAGAAAAATCTGGTCCAAACTCTCTCCGGAAGCCAAGAAGCCAAAATTATTAAACTTTGGCCATATCATGAGAAGATAAGATTCACTAGAGAAGGTGATAGTGCTTGGCAAGGTGGAGGGCTATAGGAAAAGAGGAATACTATGTCCTTCCAGATAGATAGACTCAATCAAGGAAGCCACAGATCAGAGTCTGCAAGAACTGACCAGTCTGTTGAGAATAGGGTGAGTAGGAGGTTGCCATAAGTTGAAGTCAAAACTAAAGCATCCTGAGCAGGTAGCTATCCAGCTTCTTTTTAAGACAGCTAGAGAGAAAGACCTTACCATGCCTTTATGCATTTTTCCCCATTGTTGAACCACTTTTATTGATAAGAAGTTTGTTCTAATGTTCACTCAAAATATACTGCTACTAACATAAAATCATTAGACCTGTTATTACTTTTTGGGACATCAGAAAACAATCCTGCCTTTTCCTTCCTGTAACAACCAGGGGATATTTAAAGAGTGGCATCATGTCACTCCTCAGTTTCTTATCCATCTCAGAGGTGCTTCTAGATTCCTCCACCACTTTGTTTTTTAAGGGTGGCACACGAATCTTCATTTGTGTACATTTATGTATTTACAATTGACCATCTCTTACAAAGTGGACACCATGTAGTTTTTAAAGTATTGTTGGACTGTTTACTTACTTATGTAGGCTATCCCTCATAGCCCAAGGATGATGGCCCTCCAAGTCTATTGTCATGGCAGTGGGTCCGTAGGTGGCCATGGAGCCCTATGTTCTCCCACAGTGTTCTCCCACAGTGAGTGCATCTGTTTCCAGGTGGAAGGCGGTCCCAGTTAGGGTTGGCTTGATATTTCTTCCTCTTAGCATGTTTCTCCTTTTTGCTCCATTCATACCACTTTGAATTCCTCAACACTGCTGGTCACAGCTGACTTCCAGTTAGAGCACTCAAGAGCCAGGTTTTCCCAGTTCTTAGTGTCTATGCCACCGTTTTAAGGTTGGCTTTAAGCCCATCTTTAAATCTCTTTTCCTGTCCACCAACATTACGTTTTCTGTTCTTGAGTTGGGAGTATAGTAACTGCTTTGGGAGATGGTGATTGGGCATTCAGACAACATGGCCTTCAGTCCAGTAGAGTTGATGGCATAGGAGCATCACTTCAATGCTGGTGATATTTGCTTCTTCCAGCATGGTGACATTTGTCCATCTGTCTTCCCAAGAGATTTGCAGGATTTTTCAGAGGCAACACTGATGTTGGACTGCAACTTCCATAGCCCTAGCCCAAATAATCAGTGGTGAGGAGTTGGGAATTGCAGTTCAACAATATCTGAAGGCCTGCATCATTCATGTCTGTGATCCATTGGTTGTATGGAGATAAGAACCTTCTTTACTCTGCTGAGACATGCCTTTCTACTAAACTGATGTATTTTGCTACTATAGTGCCCTTAGGAGTCATGCTACTATGGCAATGCTGATTGACAAGAGCTCAAAACATTTCTGTGGTTTCAGCAAACCAGTTTACTAGTAAAAGCTGCAGTATGAATCCTATCTTGTGGTGGCTGAGCACCACATTGTTAGTGCAGAGGCTTTGGAAGAAGGAAGCCTTAGAAGGTTTTTTTTCCCAATCTGGTACCTCCCAGATGTGCTGGGTTATTGTATTGTTGAAGGCTTTCATGGCTGGAATCACTGGGTTGTTGTAGGTTTTTTTGGGCTATATGGCCATGGTCTAGAGGCATTCTCTCCTGATGTTTCCCCTGCATCCATGGTAAGCATCCTCAGAGGTAGCGAGGTAGTGTTGGGCTATTGTTGTGATTGTCCCTAACCAACTGGGATAAATGATGACTGTATTCAAACACATCTGGAGGGAACCGGGTTGGGCAAAGGCTGTTTGGCAGTAAAATTAATATGCAGTTGAGGATTCGGGGGCATGTTCCAGGAATCTGGAGGAATGTAGCCAACTTGCAAAAATGATAGGCTAGCATTTCAGGCCATGTTGTCTTTATGTGTGCTGAAAGAGTGCCTCACATTGCAAACAAGCTGTATGTTTTTAGGGGAAGCAACTTGTTTTTAAATGAAGCAACACTATTGAAACTCACTAAGAAATGCCTGATCAACTGCTAAAGAAACTGAAGGATAAGAGTTTGAAAACAACTGTATTAGTTTGTAGCTGGTGTGGTGTGTTGCCAAAGAAGCTGTTGAATTAGAGTCAGAGAAGGAAGATCAGGGTATGAAGAGGGAGAGCGGTAATTCTGGGTGCATCTACATTGTCGAATTACTGCAGTTTGACACCACTTTAACTGCCATAGCTCAATGTTATGGAATTATGAGAATTCTAATTTTACAAGATGCTTAGGCTTCCCTGTCTGTGGTGTCTGGCCAAACTACAACTCCCATGGCCATAGCATTGGGCCATGGCAGTTTAAGTGGTATCAAACTGCAATAATTCTACAGTGTAGGTGCAGCCTCTACAATGTAGTATACAGTACCATACTTTGCATTTCTGTCAGAAATCTTCTGTTGGAGTCTCTGTGAGGTGAAGTTTTGGTATTGTGAATTGTGCTTAGTAAAACTGACCACATTGAATATGTAGTACAGAAAAAAGTGCAGAGGTGGTTATGTGGTTTGCTCTTGAGAGATGATCGCTCCACATGTTTAAACTTTCTTTTCAGGGTATAAGTTTGTATCAAGTTTTGATAGTTACATTTTTAACTTTTGTATATTGTGAACTTTTAGCTTCTGTTGTTTTCACTGTTGCAAGCCAGTTTGAGTCCTGGAATGACTGGCTATAGTGGTACTGATAATTAGTTGCATCATGACATGGGACTCTTCTGCATTGGGAGCTTTGTGATTTTCCCAACAAATGCATGGTTGCTGCAAGTGAGGAAGCCTTAATAAAGTAATGAAAGGAATGCTTCTGGCATTTCATATTCTCTACACAGGAGTTCACCCATCCAAGTGCTAACTAGGGCTGATCCTGCTTAGCATCCACATTCAGACATACTTCAGTGTATTATAAATGCCTTATTATGTATACTTTTTGTGGAATGTGCGAAAAAGCCAGTCATCAGACAATCTGTAGGAGCCCCCAGTGGCGCAGTGGGTTAAACCCCTATGCCGGCAGGACTGAAGACCGATAGGTCGCAGGTTCGAAACCAGGGAGAGCATGGATGAGCTCCCTCTATCAGTTCCAGCTCCTCATGCAGGGACATGAGAGAAGCCTCCCAAAAGGATGATAAAACATCAAAACATCTGGGCGTCTCCTGGGCAACGTCCTTGCAGACGGCCAATTCTTTCACACCAGAAGTGACTTGCAGTTTCTCAAATGGCTCCTGACATGACAAAAAAAAAAAGACAATCTATACATGTCTGAAGTAGGGCTTTTGGGGTAGTTGCTCCAAAGTGCAATGATTTCCCCCTTTTAAGTCTAGAATATAAGTTCTTTATTCACCTTTTAAAGTGGCCCTTTAAACCTAGGCTTTTGTCATTGGAGTGAATCTTCAAGATGTTTCTGACTTTTGGCAATCCTAACCCCATCACAAGATTTTCTGTGGTTCAGAATGTGTGACTTGCACAAGGGGCTTTCATGGCCAAGTGAGGAATCCAATGCTGGTCCCCAAAAGTGGAGTCCAATGCTGAAACCACTAATGACAGCGTGGCAATTTGCAAAGCCAAACTCTGGAAGATAAATCAGTAGGAAATTTGATGCTATTGTTTTGGTTCTGTTTGATATTTGTATTAGTAGTTAAGGTCTTATAAATGGCTATTAAATTTGCTTTATTTTTTATCAGCCACTTCAAGTTGAGAAACACCAGCCTAAGCTTTTGTTTTATGTTTTATTGATTTTGTTATGGTTTTTATTATATGTTAATGTCTTTAATTGTATTTATAGCATTGTGGGCATTTAATTTTGCCCTGTAAACTGCCTTGAGTCACCTGTGGGTTGAGAAAAGTGGTAAACAAATACAGTAAATAAAAAAAAGCATTAAATATATAGTTTCTTGTGGATTTTTTCGGGCTATAGGGCCATGTTCTAGAGGCATTTCTCCTGACGTTTCGCCTGCATCTATGGCAAGCATCCTCAAAATGACCTCACTACCTCTGAGTATAGATGCAGGCGAAACATCAGGAGAAATGCCTCTAGAACATGGCCCTATAGCCCGAAAAAACCCACAAGAACCTAGTGATTCCAGCCATGAAAGTCTTCGACAATACATAAAATATATGTTTCAAAATAAATAATGTTTGGGATTCTAGATTAATTATTACATCAAGGCCACATCTACACTGCTATATAATGCAGTTTCAAAATGCAGATTAACTGCATTGAACTGGATTAATTAATAATAATAATAATAATAATAATAATAATAATAATAATAATAGCAATGTTTTTTGTAGACCGCCCTATCTCCCCAAAAGGATTCAGGGCAGTTTCCAGCACATAAGGCAAACATTCAATGCCAACAAAGAGACATATTGGTGGTAATGTAGACTCATATAATTCATTTCAATGCAATTCCATCTGCATTATTTGAGTCTATACTGACCATTATAACGTAGTTCAAACTGTATTATATAACAGTACAGATGGGACCTAATCAGTGTCTCCAAGAAGCCACCAGAGCCTTCCAAATTGTGTGTTGCAACACATAGTGTGTTTTCTGTTGTGTGAAGGTGGGTCACTCAAACATGACAAGAACTTCTGAGTCTATGTGAAATAAACAATAAATTATATATGCAATATATATATATATTATTTATTTATTTAGGCCATTTCTACCACTAGCCAAAGGCCAGGCTCCAAAACCACATCTTTAGTTTTTTCCTAAAAGTAAGGAGGGAGGACGCCGATCTAATCTCTCTGGGGAGTGAATTCCATAAGCAGGGGGTCACCACTGAGAAGGCCCTGTCCCTCGTCCCTACCAGACATGTTTGAGACGCTGGTGGGACCGAGAGCAGGGCCTCCCCAGTAGATCTTAAATTACATGGTGGAACATAGAGAGAGATACGTTCGGATAAGTAAGCTGGGCAGGAGCCGTATAGGGTATAAATGAAAGGCTTTTATGAGATATTTTGCGTCCCCATACATTTCTTTATTACAGTTTATGTGAGTGACCATATATCTTATAAAGGGTTGGTCTAATACTAAAACTGAATTACTGTGTTGTGAAATGATGCATGTTGAAAAAAGTGTGTCACCAAAATGAAATGTTCAGAAAACTCTATTCTATACCCATATGTTAACTATGTTAGATTATTTCATCTTTTCAACTGATCCATGTTTACTCTTGCTTTCTCTGCAGATCAGGGAGTGTCATCGACCACTGGTTTGAAATCGTTGACTTTGTGAAACAACTGACAGATAGATTTGTAAGGTGAGTTGTCCTCCTCCTGCTTTCCAGGATTAATATAAATGGGAACGATTGCAAAATAAACTCAGATTTTCAATTCATGAGGAATTAGAAACATGCATCAGTTTGAGTTGTGGAGGCTCCTTCTTTGGAGGCTTTTAAACAGAAGATAGATGGCCATCTATAGGGGGTGCTTTGAATGGAAGGTCTCTTCCAACTCCATGATTCTATGCTCATGTAAGATAGTTACAAAATAGCACAGTCTACGACAAGCATGGACGAACCTTTTTGCCTTGGGGCCACATTGTGAACCCAGCCAGGAGGGTTGGGCTGGGAGGGAGAGGGGCAGGCCCATGAGGTGTAGGGCCTGGGAGAGGGCAGGACCAAGAGGGGAAGGGCAGGGCCTGGGTCATCCTCAGGTTGTCCTCCAAGCATAAGGATGGAGCTGCTTGCCCCATCCTTAAGCTGGGAGGAAAGCAGGACACGTGGTGACTGCCCCGATTCTTCTTCTCTTGACATTGTGCCTGGAGGAAGGTAAGACAGGCAGCAACTGAGAGTGCTCCAGAGGGCTTTCATTCACCACATGCCTTCTTTTAGCTGTCTTTCTGGCATAAGGATGGGGATGCTCGCATTGTCCTTATGCTGGTAGGAGGGCGAGACATGTAGTGGCTGAATGCACTTCAGAGGGCTCTCAGCTGTTGCAGGTCTCCATGTCCTTATGGCAAAAAGACAAGGTAAATGAGGAGGACCTGAGGTAAGCGCCGCAGGGATCGCATCCAGTCCCTGAGCCTTGGTTTGCCCATGCCTGTTCTACAACATACTTTTGGATTGCTATGTATTGTTCTATAAGTGTGTATCTTCCAGGATTCACCCAGGCAGGGAGCAGCCAGGCTTTGAAGCTGCAAGGTCATTCAATGTTAATCAAGGTGGCCAACACAGACACTTGTCTCAAACAGATAAGAGTTCTTTCTCCCACCTTGGACATTCCATAGATATATAAACCCCACTTGTCTGGTTTCCAACAGACCTCACAACCTCTGAGGATGCCTGCCATAGATGCAGGTGAAACATCAGGAGAGAGTGCTTCTGGAACATGGCCATACAGCCCAGAAAACCTACAACAACCTGAAATGTATATAGTTCCTTAAGAAATAGAGATACTCCCTGGCTGTTTTAACAACAACCTAGGAACCTAATAAGAACAGCTTATTCCATATCAAACAATTTATCCATAAACCTAGTGTTATCTACGATAACTAGCAGTTTGATTCAGGAAATATACATCTAAAATTACAGGGTGATTGTTATTTTGATCTAATTTACATTGAGAAATTCATGTTTTTAAAACATTTTTTTTTAAAAAATCCATCAAGTGAGATGTCAAGATCAGTATTTGAAAGAAAATATGTAAGTCAGCCGTACTTTCTGTTTATTACACATGCCTTCCTTTTTGTCTCACTTTCATCAACAACATAGCAATTAGTCTGTGGAAATACGTGTGCATCTTCTAGAAACACAATGCTAAAATAGATAGAATTTAGTCTCCACTGGCAAGGCTATTCTAAGCACAAGAAGAAACTGTATTTAATACCCACCTGAAATAAAGATTGTATGGGTTGCTGTGAGTTTTCCAGGCTGTATGGCCATGTTCCAGAAGCATTCCCTCCTGCCATTTCATCCACATCTATGGCAGGCATCCTCAGAGGTTGTGAGGTCTTTTGGAAACTAGGCAAGTGAGTTTTATATATCTGTGAAATACCCAGCATGGGAGAAAGAACTCTTGTCTGTTTGAGGCAGGTGTGAATGTTGCAATTGACCACCATGATTAGCACTGAATGGCTTTGCAGCTTCAAAGCCTGGTTGCTTCCTGCCCAGGGGAATCCTTTGTTGGAAGGTGTTAGTTGGCCCTGATTGTTCCTCCTACCGCAGATATATAAACCTCACTTGCCTAGTTTCCAACAGATCTCACAACCTCTGAGGATGCCTCCCAAAGATGTCGGAGAAACCTCAGGAGAAAATGCTTCTGGAACATGGCCATACAGCCCGGAAAACTCACAGCAACCCAGTGATTCTGGCCATGAAAGCCTTTGACAACACAAAGATTGTATGCTCAGCAAGGTGTTGCTCATGTCATGTGTCTCTTTTAACCATTGCAAGCCACCTTGAGTCCTAGACTCGAAAAAATGAGATGATAGTGGTGATGATGATGACAATGATGATAGCAGCAGCAACAACAGCAACAATAATAGCCCTCTTAAGATTTCTGTGCTTTGGACTCTTTTATCACCCTCTTTTCATGAGAGACAGTTATTGTAGTGGTTTAGTATTGGATTGGGATATATAAGCTTTTGATTCAAATTCCATTCAAACCATAAAATCATTGGATAATTGCTGTCCAGTTGCTACGTCTCAGCTTGATCTATCTCAGCGGCTTGTGGGCATGATAATAAAGAAATAAAATAGAAGAAATAGATAAATGTGTGAAGTCCATATGATATAAATATCCCCCATTTGTTGTTGTTGTTGTTGTGTGCCTTTAAGTCACATTTGATGTAGTGTAACCCTATGCTCATGGGGTTTTCTGAGGCTGGGAGTGTATGATTCACCCAATGTCACCCGGTGGGTTTCTGTAGCTGAGCAGGGAATCAAGCCCTCCTCTCCAGTTGTGTAGACCCAGCCTGTGTAGGCTGGGTCTACACAACCATATAGACTCTTTGTGGAAAAAAGTGGGGTTTAAATAAACATAAACATAAACACCTGCCTGTGACAAAAAACTGGTGGGATCACAAGCCTGAAAAAGTTACACAAAATGAACACGTCAAACTGCTCCAGGACTTCCAAATTCATACTGATAGAGTTTTGGAGCACAATACTCCTGACCTCACAATTGTGAGAAAAAATATAGTATGAATCACTGATGTTGCAATCCCAGGTGACCTCAGAATTGACGAGAAGCAACTGGAAAAGCTTACACAATATGAAGATTTAAAGCTAGAACTGCACAGACTCTGGCACAAGTGAGTCAAGGTGGTCCCAGTGGTGATTGGCACACTGGGTGTAGTGCCTAAAGATCTTGGTCTGCACTTAAAAACAATTGCCGTTGTCAAAATTACCATCTGTCAGCTGCAAAAGGCCACCCAACTCGGATTTGCACACATTATTCGCCAATACATCACACAGTCCTAGACAGTTGGGAAATGTCCAATGTGTGATCGAATACAAAAACCAGCACAGTGATCTTGTTTGCTGTGTACTAATCTTGTGTATCAATAATAATAATAATAATAATAATAATAATAATAATGTCCAGGGACGACCTAGCTACGGTGATCCAGGCTACGGTCATCTCAAGACTGGACTACTGTAACGCCCTCTACATTGGCCTTCCTCTGTTGGTGATCCGGAAGCTCAAGTTGGTACGAAATGCAGCTGCTCGGCTTCTTGTGGGAATTCCAATGAGATGCCACATAACACCAATCTTACTGCAGCTGCATTGGTTACCAATTGAGCACCGGACCATTTTCAAAGTGATGGTACTCACCTTTAAGGCCTTGCATGGTCTGGGGCCAATGTACCTGAGGGACCGCCTCACCCCCTACCAACCCCAGAGATCCCTCCGTTCTGAGGACCAAGATCTATTGGAAATTCCCAGTGTCAAGACCTTGCGTCTAACAGCAACCAGACACAGAGCCCTTACAGCAGTGGCACCATCACTCTGGAATACTCTGCCACCTGAAGTCCGAGCCTTGCGGGACTTATCAGCTTTCCGCAGGGCATGTAAGACATATCTGTTTCGACGGGCTTTTGATCTCTGATATTGCTGTTTTTAAATTGTTTTAAATTGTTTTTAAATTGTGTTCGATTTTAGCCTGTTCTTGTAAGCCGCTCCGAGCCCCAGGGGAGTGGCGGCATATAAGTTCGAATAATAAATAAATAAATAATGATAATGATAATGATAATAATAATAAGACCTTGGCCTGCACTTAAACACAATTGGTGCTGATAAGATTACCATCTGCCAGCTGCAAAAGGCCACCTTACTGGGATCTGCACACCTTATTCGCCGATTCATCACACAGTCCTAGACACTTGGGAAGTGTCCGACGTGTGATCTAATACAACAGCCAGCAGAGTGTCTGCTGTGGACTCATCTTGTTGTGTTTCTAATAATAATAATAATAATAATAATAATAATAATAATAATAATAATAATAGCAACAGCAACAACTATCTGATTCCAGATTATTTGATTTGAACTGGATTATATGAGTCTATACTGCCATATAATCCAGTTCAAAGCAGGTAATCCGGAATCCAAAACTGGATTATATGACAAGTGTAGATCTAGCCTTAGTCCAATATTCAAACCACTACACCACAATGGTTCTCACATTTGTTCTTCTGTTGCAACATATGTGATTGTGGGTTGAAGGGATGTGTCTCTATTTGCATTGTATGTGAAAAGAGTTTGATTTCTGGCTCAGACTTTTTGCAGTTTGTCTTTGCAAAACAATCAAAGAAGCAAGCAAGAAAGTAAACAAACAAACAAAAACAAAGGATATTTTTAAGAAGACTTGGGGATTGCTGAGAAGTCAAGGCTTTAGTATCTTGTATGGCTCTTTGTTTTTTTCCAGTTCTATCCAAAGCAGAGTCCATAATGCAATCTAAGCTAACATATGCATGATCTACTGCATGATCTTACTCTTCTTACAGTTGTATAGCTGTTGAAGGATATCATGTTGGTGATTTTTCACATAGGCTACACTCAGCCCTGGATACTGAGAGCGCAAGAGGAAGTATCCTCACAGACAGTGGAGTTAATTGTTTCCTACGGAAAATGTAATACAGTGAGCAATTGTGAGCTTGACCAGCTGGTGAAAAGTCATGTGAAATAGACAGGCGTAATTGCATTTTGCTTGCATCTCTCTTCCCAAAACCAGATACAAGGAGAGAAATCTAGTAGAAGTCGTCTCTCCATGAATATAAGCTATTGAAAAGAGTCTAATCAGCTATTCGAAAGAGGCCATGGCCCAGACTTACAGTTACTGGCAAGAGAGATATTTATCTCTTCCAAAAAAAGATCTGATTGTCCATTCTAAAACCTTTCAGTCATCTTTTTATTTAAGCCAAGACTCCCTGCCCCTGTAAATCTTTTTTTTAAATCATCGAATTGGCTGAAATAAAATAGGTTGAACTGAATCATCTGACAAACGGTTCTTAACAGCTTATTAAGATTTCTTCCTTCTCGCCCTCCTTCTTTTCCCCTTAAGAGAAAGGGGACAGCTTAATGGTTGACAAAAGCTGTTCAGCGCAGCATATGGTGAAAACACAGACCAGGTTTCATTATAAGAATTAGATCATTCCAGTATGAGTTGTACATCTGTTTCCCATTTTGCTGAGTCTGAAAGATGTAGGTCTGCAGTAGCAACACAACACACATTTTATTTCCCCTTTTAAGAGGCTCAGGCTTTCAGTGGGACCTTAAAAAGAAAGAAGTTGTGCCAATGATATTTTTTATCTTCATTGAACTCGCTATGGAGGAAATGAAGAAAAAAATTGATAAAAGTGAAAAGTATTTATTAGCAACAGTATCTCACTTTAAAAAACAGGAAGAAGCTACTCAAGAGTGATGGTGCAGATTAGAAAAGAAGTCATTTTCTAAGGTGCTATTGGATATTTTCTAATGCAAACTCTATTTTGTGCAAATTAACAAGCTAAATACAAAGTTGGGAGAGACTAGATGCCACTTGTTATAGAGCAGTGTCTCCTGACTTTGAATGTTGCTGAACTTCACAAACACAATGGTTACAGGACCAGGTTTTTAGAAATTCTAGTCCCACAAATATGTATGTATGTATGTATATATGTATATATGTATATATGTATATATGTATATGTATATGCATACACACACACACACACATGGGGGTTATCCAGAAAGTACAGTTACAAGATTTTTTAAAAACACAAAGAATGAATATATTTTAATAAAACTTACACGGATTGTAGCATAGGTATTACATGATTTTCAACATAATCCCCATTCAGTTCAATACATTTGTCATCCGTAGGACGGGTTTTTGATTCCTGTGTCATAGAAGTTTCCCTCTGTCTTTTTCAGTCAGTTTGCCACTTCAGTTTTCACCTCCTCGTTGCCAGAAAAGTGTTTTCCACCCAGGTGTTCCTTCAATTTAATGAACAGATGATAGTTATTGGGTGTGAGATCGGGACTGTGAGATGGGTGGCTTAAAACATCCCAACAAAATGAAGTCAACAACTCTTGTGTTGCACGAGCGGTGTGCGGACGCGCATTGTCATGAAGGAGACAGACTCCCACCATCAGCATCCCACAACATTTGTTTTGGATATCTCTGTGAAGTTTTTTCGTGGTCTCACGATATATTACGTACCCATTTTGTTGCATGCTGTCTTGACATTACGTCCCCTCCATAAACTGAAACGATTTCACAATGAATCACAGAGGCATTCATGTTCTTAGTATTTAGGTAGTGTATTACGGCGTGAACTTCACACTTAGGGGGAAACAGAATGAGGATGCTCATCTCTTTCACCACAATGCCAGTCGATGAGCTACTGATGACTGACACTGCTTGTTCACTTCCACTGGCTTCCATTACACGGCAGTAATACAAACTTCCCCTGCAAAAATTCTGTGCAAGAGCATCATGCCTTGCAATCTTACTTTCCGGATAACCCTTGTGTGTGTGTGTGTGTGTGTGTGTGTGTGTGACTGGCCAATGACCAGCATTAAAACAAACATAAAAGACATGTACGGCATTAAAATACAAGTTTTAAAAGCAGGGTTCAGAAGCAATGTTGAGTATGAGAGTTAAAATAGTGTTAAATATTTGTATATTTGAACAACAGTGATAGAAGCTGAGATAAAATCATAGACTAACAGTGTCCTTAGTTCAATCAATGCTTTGGTGTCTTTAGTTCAAGACATACCTCTCTGAATATTCCTATTTTAGTCAACCAAATACCAAATTTGCAAAATCTGTGTGGTTTTTTTCTTTCTTTCTTTTTTTTCTCTTTTTTTCTTTTTAATCTCTGTGTTTGTTTTGCTCTGTTAGAATTGTAATACAATGGTTGCTGATGACACGATAAATAGTCAACCAGTTATTATTCCTGGGCTCCAACTCACCAAGTCCCACAGCTAGTATAGCAGTGGAAACTTTTTGAAATTGCAGAATGTCATGCACGTATTCAGACCATTGAATGAGCTTGACTTGGACTTGTATGCCTGAGTCAAGGTGTGTCCAGTTTGTCCTGTTTTTAAAAGTGGTTTTATTTCTGAAAATCATACAGATAACAATGCATTATAATACAAACCTTGACATTCTATAAATCAATATAGTCCTGTTAATATAAATTAGAGGTGAAAAATCTTCAGTTCTCTACATGTTTTGGACTTGAACTCCCACAGCCATACTGGGTGAGGCTGAAAGAAACTATAAGTCAAAACAGAGGAATCATAGAATCAAAGAGTTGGAAGAGACCTCATGGGCAATCCAGTCCAACCCTCTGCCAAGAAGCAGTAATATTGCATTGAAATCACCCCTGATAGATGGCCATCCAGCCTCTATTTAAAAGCTTCCAAAGAAGGAGCCTCCACCACACCCTGGGGCAGAGAGTTCCACTGCTGAACGGCTCTCACAGTCAGGAAGTTCTTCCTAATGTTCAGATGGAATCTCCTTTCTTGTAGTTTGAAGCCATTGTTACGCATCCTAGTCTCCAGGGAAGCACAAAACAAGCTTGCTCCCTCCTCCCTGTGGCTTCCTTTCACATATTTATACATGGCTATCATATCTCCTCTCAGCCTTCTCTTCTTCAGGCTAAACATGCCCAGCTCCTTAAGCTGCTCCTCATAGGGCTTGTTCTCCAGACCCTTGATCATTTTAGCCGCAAACTAAATACAAACTTCCCCTGTGAAAATTCTGTGCAAGAGCTTCATGCCTTGTAATCTTACTTTCCGGATAACCCTTGTGACACACACACACATACACACATATATGCCAATGACCAGCATTAAACAAACATAAAAGACATGTACGACATTAAAATACAAGTTTTAAAACCAGGGTTCAGAAGCAATGTTGAATATGCGAGTTAAAATAGTGTTAAATATTTGTATATTTGAATAACAGTGGTAGAAGCTGAGATAAAATCATAGACTAACAGTGTCCTTAGTTCAATCAATGCTTTGGTGTCTTTAGTTCAAGACGTTCCTCTCTGAACATTACTATTTTTGTCAACCAGTTATTATTCCTGGGCTCCAACTCATCAAGTCCCATAGCCAGTATAGCAGTGGAAACCTTTTGAAATTGCAGAACGTCATGCACGTATTCAGACCATTGAATGAGCTTGACTTGGACTTGTATGTCTGAGTCATGGTGTGTCCAGTTTGTCCTGTTTTTAAAAGTGGTTTTATTTCTGAAAATAATACAGATAACAATGCATTATAATACAAACCTTGACATTCTATAAATCAATATAGTCCTGTTAATATAAATTAGAGGTGAAAAATCTTCAGTTCTCTACACGTTTTGGACTAGAACTCCCACAGCCATACTGGGTGAGGCTGAAAGAAACTATAAGTCAAAACAGAGGAAGGACTTGAAGTTCCACAGTTGAGGGGTGAACACTACTTTGTTGTAGTTCCCTCTTCTGCCCACTCTCCATGTGAGCGTGTCTCGTTATAGGAAGAGCTCCTGCCAATGAGAGCAGATACTATGATTGGTATGCAGAGAAATGGCCCAAGTTACACACAGGTAACATGAGTGGAAACAACATAGGCATATTCATTCTTCCAAAGATTTGAACTTCAGGGGAATGTCCTATGTCAGCTGAAATAAGAATAGCTGAACAGGAATGCACACATTGGATGTCTTGATACTTCCTGTGTGGGTTTTGTGTTTATTTGGCTCCTGTCATAAAGGTCAAGAGGGAGAGGTCCTCAGGGTCTGGTTTGGCACAGTTCCATTCCAAATGAATGTGGGCGCAATGTTCTGAGACAGATGTTTTTCTTTCTCTCTTTGTCTTTAAACAAGCCCTCGGATGCGGTTATCCTTCATAGTGTTTGCCATGCAAGCAAAAGTCATCCTGCCGTTAACAGGAAATAGGTAAGTAAATAGCTACATTGCTTGTTTTTTGTTCTTAAATGGTAGGTAACAATTCTACAATAAGTTGTTTGAAGGGATAAACTGTATGCCTTACTGAGTACCCAATAGTATGATCTCCCCATTCCTTTTCAAAGAGAGAGATAATTTTCCTGAAAGATTGATGGCCACATGGAGTAGGTGATTTTCCAACTGGAAAATGAAGCTTCAGGTGGTATAATTAGTTCGCTCATTCATGTGGGGGCATGAGAGAAACCTCCCACTGGATGGTAAAACTTCCAGATGCCCCCTGGGCAACGTCCTTGCAGACGGCCAATTCTCTCACACCAGAAATGACTTGCAGTTTTTCAAGTCACTCCTGACATGAAAGAAACTAATTATTTTACAGATAATAGATCCAGTAGTTGGTGATGGGTTTCTTGTTGGCAGGGCAGTGAATCCCCTCCAAGTCTGAATCCAAATTGTAACGGAACTCTCCAAGGTGCTGAACCTGGATCCACCTATATGTTTAGCACTTTATATAGCTCTTTTTAAGGTTTGGACAGAAAGATGGATCGCAGTAAGTGCTCTTCTTATGTAGAACTTGCTAGCTGCTCTGTGGTGTTGTAAGTGTTATTAGAATAATGTAACCAAATCCATCAGTGCAATATAAATGTGGCCTAGCATACTACTAGTGGATTAACTAGGGCTAAGCCATGTATCTCCTTATGTTTGATTACCAATCTGAACGACTTGAAAAAACAATTATTGAATAGGAAGGAAGATTTGGGCATGACAACTTTTTGGAACAAAACCGTGCCTTTCTGAACAACAAAAGTATGATAATTATTGAACGAGATTGGGAAGGAAGACTTGGGCATGATAACTTTTTGGAACAGAATTGCCTTTCTGAACAGCAGAAGTGTGAGATTCATGCACATATGCTGCACTGACAAGAGATGTTCTATTTGTAACCACTCAAAGCAACCAGACAGCCACCAAGTTCTTTTCAAGTAGTGCTCTCCCTCCCACCCCCACCTTTGTCTTTAATTCCCAATGAGTTTCATAGACCTCCAAGGATTGGTCTGTTATTGTATCGTCCAATTCCTATTAATTGGTGTTTTGTTTTTGTTTATAATATTTTTTCCTCATGTTGGCTTTATTTTGGTGTAAAAGATAAAGGTTTCCCCTGACATTAAGTCTAGTTGTGTCCGACTCTGAAGGGTGGTGCTCATCTCCATTTCTAAGCCAAAGAGCCGGCATTGTCTGTAGACACCTTCAAGGTCATGCGACCAGCATGACTGCATAGAGCACCATTACATCTCCACAAAAGTGGTACCTACTGATCTACTCACATTTGCATGCTTTCAGATTGCTAGGTTGGCAGAAGCTGGGGCTAACAGTGGGAGCTCAGCCCACTCCCTGGATTCAATCCACTAACCTTTTGATCAGCATGTTCAGGAGCTCAGCAGTGTCACCTTTTTGTGTATATACTTTAATTTATGGATGACCTTGGGCTGGTCATTATCTTAAGCTGGCTTCCAGCACAAGTTTATGAAGGTGAACTGAGACGGAGGAGAGACATGTGTACTGCCTTGAACTCTTTGAAGGAAAAACAGGGTTGTTTTTTTTTGTTAATGGACATTAAGTCAACCTTGACTTATGGTGACCCCATGAATGGGAGACAGCCATCACTCTGTTATCAGTAGCCTTGTCATAACTTCCTTTAATGATATTTAATATATTTTTCTTGACTGTGACTGAATAATAAAGCTCTATGTTAAGTGTGCTAACCTTTTTGGCTATGTCAAAATCATATTGCATGGCTTTGAGTTGAGCTGATATTCTTCTATTGCTGATTACATCACAGATGGCTGGTTCTGGGAAACCTATGATGCTTTGTGAACACACTTTCTGTGCTTTTGTGCTTGAAGAAAATATATTTAAACAGACAATGACATTAACTTAAAAAATTTAAAAAATACATTGTCCTGAATCCTGTTTGTTCATTCCTGATAGAATAGACACATCTAATACAGTGTGGAATCATGAGTGGAATCATGAGTCAATATGTAGGTAACTCCTGCTGATTCAATGGGTCTCCTTTAGTTGTGACTAACGATAGGATTCAAGCAATTAACAGATTAATTCTCAGACACTGTTTGTATAATTGAATGATGAACAAGTTCAAGAAGTCTTAAAGGATGTAGATAAGCTAAATTAATTCTCTGTGTCTTTTTTCATGGCAGAAGACACAAGGCAAATGAGTGTACATGCACTGATATTTTTAGGGAAAGAAACTGATTAATTTGAAGAGGTGAAATTAGGGAGGTGGTTCACAAATTGAATGTGAACAAATTTTGGGGTCCAAAGGGCACCTCAGGAAGTTCTTTGAAAATTCAAATGTGGCATTGCCCATTTTTTAAGAAAAGCATGACAGATGTCCTGTGCACTAGAGGACTGGAAAATGATCAAGGTAATGCCAATTTTTAAAATATGGATATAGAAAATTTCAGAATAGTTAGTTCAATTACTCTTCTAACTAAAGTGTGGAAAGCTTTACTAAAGATAGATTTTTCAAGCATATAGCAGGGCATGTCTACTGTAATGAAGAGAGCCAGCATTGCTTGTTGCAAAGGTTACATTCTGTCTCACAAATCATTCAGATTTTTTTTAGTAATATCACCAAGCATGTGAACAAGATAGTCTGGTAGACTATGTTCACTTGGACTTTAAAAAATCTTGGCCATAAATACTTAGCAAAAGCTTGGGCAGGGTTGTATGGGGGAGTAAAGCCCATTCTTTAACCTGGACTGTGCACCCAAGTCTTTGGTCTGGTCCAGTTCATTTTGTTCTCTATTTACACAACAATGGGTTGAAAATCAGATAATTCCTTTCTTCTTGCCTATGGTAGATTAGCAAAAGGTATGCTAAAACTTGCAAAGAGTAATACAGTGTTCCCTCAATGCTTCGCGGTTCGCTGTTTCATGGCTTTTCAAAAAAAATATTAAAATACAAGTAGTGAGGGAACACTGTATATAACAGACTTGAGAGCCCCATGCCAGTGGGGAAGCAGGGAGGGAGGGAGAAGGGTGGCTCCAGCAGGGGAAGGGGAAGGAAGGGAGGAAGGGAGGGAGTGTTGTGGCTCACTTTGAGCCTGAGCTTTCTGAGCCCGTGTTTCCTCAGAACAAGGAGGATGATGGGTTACAGATTTCTGAACATGTCCCTGTTATTGAGGCAGACAGTGTTGATTCTGAAGAAGAGACGGCATTTCTGTTTCCCAGAGAAAGGAATGTTGCTTAAGATGAAGATAGTGAGACTTCACAGCTGCAGGTGGAGGAGTCGGCTCCATCTGGGAGTTTAGTGCCTCTCGGTTCCCAGGGTGACCAGTCCCAGGATAATGAGTTATCCGGCCTTGAAGATGGTGGAGATTTGATTAGGGAGGACCGTTTGCAATTAAGGGTAATCCTTGCCAATAAATGGGAAGTTCGAGGTCAACGTAATGCTTTCATGCTAGGGAAACATATTTAATGATCTGATTGAAGCCAATCCTTTGTCAGTGCAATGTTGCTTACACCCTGTTAACTTCTTTGGAATTACCTCAGCTTTGGGGGAAAGCTTTTAGCTCTTTGGGACTTTGGCTTTGATTGTGGTTTTGGGGGACCTTATCATGTTGCCATGGACTCTTGTTTAACCAATACTAAAGGATTATTCTTCATGTTATTTGCCCTTGAATCTTGGAAACTTTGCCTCTGCATTTAAGACTCTGTTTTGGCTATTTAACTTTTGCAACTATATTTCTATGTTTTTGGTTTTTCTTTTTGTTCAATAAACTACAAAACCTACATTCTTGGTGTGTGGTGGTGTCTTGAGCAAGGTGAATCTATCCTGAGTTGTGACAGTGGGAAAGATAAGAGGGAAAGAGAGAGAGAGAGAGAGAGAGAGAGAGAGAGAGAGAGAGAGAGGAGTGGGTGGAGCTATACTGTACATACAGTATAATGTCCCCACATTGCGGTTTTTCACTTATAGTGGTGGTTCCTGGAACGGAACCCCCACGATAGGGGAGGGAACACTGTACACAACTATAAATTCTCTGGAGTCAGTGGTGCAGGACCCTAATGAAAGTAGAAAAAATGCAAATAAAGAAAAATTATTTTTTAATGGAGAGAACACTTCTCTAGGAATATGTAGGTAATCCATCAGAACTCTATAGTCAACTTCCACCTGACATTGTCCAAAATATCCCATTAGAGGACCTACAAACACCTAGAAAATGTTTCTTCCTAGGAATCACCAGGTCATCTAGCATGACTTCTGGGCCATAGAGTAGCACTGGAGGATCTAGATATATTAATCAAATCTGTGAATATTGAATACTACAATTCATAGTTTTTTGCCTTCTACCAAATTTGCAGGAGATTTGAATGTTGAGGCGAGGTTTTGTAAAAATAGTGTTAAATTCTGGTCTGTGACTGAAACAGCACAGAGTGTCAAACCTGCAAATGTGGAGGTCTGATTGTACAATCGTATTCATAACAGACATTAGAACATACAATGTTAAGATCAACTTGAAAAGACAGTGCAGAAATAGTTCTTGCAATCTAGGGCAATCTTAATAGTATTATAGACCCTTGGTGAAGCAGTGTGCTGGACCTTGTCTATACAACCACACACAGGAATAAAAATGTAAATTAATGATAAAATCAACTTATATGTTACCATGTAATAGATCACAGTTTCTTTTTCCTCACTTCATTTTCTTACACTTCTTCTAACCCTTCACCGCACAAATGGGATTCTTGGAACACAAACAGGGGAGGTTCTGCTTCCAATAATGAAAATGCACACTGTCAGCAATTGTCCCCAACCATTAATTGCCTTCCCGAATCCGTTACAATATTCTGCTTCTATAATATAGTAAGCAATAAAAACAGTGAAATTTCTCTCATGAATGTAGTCATGCCAACTCTCTACTACAAGTCATAGTTTTTCTCCTTCTACCAAATTTTCAGGAGATTTGAAAGTTGAGGCGGGCAATTGGAAAAATAGTCCTAAATTCTGGTCTGCTCCTAAAACAGCACAGGGCTCCTATGGTTGTGTGCCCTTGACAACTGTCCATGCTTTAGAACAACACTGGACTAGAAGCAACTGTAAGAATTAAAGAAAACTGACCAGAGGGGGGGGGGTCCTTTGTGGACCTTGGTGGATGATGAAACCCTTCCCCATTGAGCCCATGTGGGCTTTGAAACAGAAGCCCTCCCCTTCTTCCACTTCCCCCAGGCCAAAGTCTTCAATTCTGCATTTTGTCATGTTATCGAATATTGGTGGGCAGATGGTAACCTGCTCTCTTTTGCTGTTGAGTGAATTGGTTTCTGTTTTCCTTCCTTCCTTCCTATTCATTGGGACCCTCACTAGAAATAGGTTTGGAGGTGGCAGGAGTTGCTGGGAGGTCTTGGTTGTATGCTGGATAACTAAAACTGAACTGATTGTACGAGAGCTATTTTTTGCGCCGTGAAATCTGTTTCAGAAAACTGGAACTCGATTTGTCGTTTGTTTCTTGGCAGCAGAACTGCCGGAGCCTGTGGACATGCTGCCACTCATTCCTGGCAAGCACAAAGTGTCTGCTTTGTAATCTGCATTCGTACATAATCAGTTTCAAGTTGTTTTCAATAGACGCCGAGTGTAAAATATTTTGGATTAAACAGATTGCATTGACTTTACGTAACTTGCTCAGCTGCCATCTATAGCACACAGCATGTCTTCCGTTGCGACCAGGACTGCCAGTACGGATATAAAGTGCTTTATGCAAGCATTTCGAGTTTACCTTTTAAATGGGGTGGAGGGTGTTAACAGAGTTTTTTTTAATTGAGTTGAACTGAGATGAAATATATTGACATTTTAGAACAGAACTTTTGGATTTATAATAAAAAAACCAGAAAAATACACATTTATGAAAAGGCTTCCTTTGTATCAGTTGATATTTTTCTGGTTTGTGGGAGGTACATTTCTGATGTCATTATTTGGATTTGTAGAGCCATTTTATATAATGGTATCCCATGTTTCTATCTGATAAACACATTCATAGGCTGGAGAGCTTCTTGTTTAGCACAATGGTGGCTGATAACTCTGAGGTTGGTGAAGTGATGAACAATTATGCAATTCTTTACTAAATGTCTTCTTGAATGAAGCAACAAGTGTTTTTTTTTAAAGTAATTTTCTTCCTGCTGTGAGAAAGTCTTCAAAATCCACATGACGTTTGAAATCATTTACTCTGTAAAGAAATCACACATGGTAGTTTTGTACATAAAATAGCATGTCCTGTTTTCTTTCTATGAATAAATATTCTGCTGTTTATGCAAAACAATGATATGCAAATTTTATATAGAATTGGTCTCTAGTCTCAGTATTTTTGCATAGGAAACATCATTCATTACTTCATATATTGAATTTGCTGTTTTCAATGCTAATCCACGTGTGATTTTTACATTTTCTTATAGAACAGTGTTTTCTGTACAGAAAAATAATTATTCTGTACAAAAAAAAATTCTGTGCAGAAAAAAACTTTTTCTCTATGCAGAACATTCAATTTTCTACTAAAAGTAACAATGAGAAAATTTTTCACAGAACAAACCCTGAACTTTAAAGGTTGTTGTTAGTCCGGGATTCTACATTTTCACATTTTCTTTTATTTTCCCCCATCCCAGTGAGAATCTACTCTTGTTTAGCTCTGTAGTTTACGGAGGTATCCATGGTGCTGTGGGTGAGCTGAGGTTCAGCATTTTGGACTGCTTCTTAAAAACAAGAGTGCATTCATTGCTCCACTGACATGAAAGACACCAGTCACCATTGGTGCAGACTGAGAAGGGCAGAGGAGCCATTTTTCAGTGGTTAGTTTGGATTGTGGAGTCTAATCTGTTTCCACAGTACATGGGCTTAGAAATAACAGCAGTGGTGAGCACATGCTACAACTCAGGAATCAGATATAGCTAGCAAATCAAATATTTCAACTGAATTCAGTGGAGCTGGAGGCAACACTTAGACCAACAAGAGACTGCTGAGACACACCAGTTCTTCTCAGAATCCTACATTGTAGACACATTAAATATTGCTGCTTTTCATGGTATTCAGTTACCTTTTCCTTTGTTTTCTTATTCTCAGGGCACAAATTGAGAGAGGACTGGAGGAGTTACGCAATGTGAAGCCAGGAGGTGAAACGTACATGCATGAAGGAATAAAAGAAGTATGTTTTATCTCCCACCTACTTTTACATCAGTAGTTCCCAACCTTTTTTGACCAGGGTCCACTTTGACCAGGAACCACTCTCCAACACTAGTACCAAAAGGGTTATAAATCAGTTTTTGGTCAACTTTAGATTTGGTTAGGCTATTTGGGATGCTGATTCAGAAAACTGCATTGGATAGATCACATCATCTCTAGTTTCTGATACAGAGCATATGCCGTCCATCAGGCATGTAGCCGGGGGGGGGGGCTTGGGGGGCTTCACCCCCCCCCCGAAATCTCATGGTGGTCCGTGAGAAGGCCTTACTGGTACATTATTTAAACTGTTATGTTTATTCATATCATGATCTGATCACCATACTCAATATATCCCATATGCATGGGGGTATTGGGGTAACGATACAAAAGGTTTGCTAAGGTAGACCCTCTTTCACTCAGACTCAGACCTCCCCCCCCCCCCGAAACAAAATCCTGGCTACGGGCCTGCTTCCAATAGTCGCCATCTGCCCTCCCACAAAAAAGCTATATTTAATAATGTAGAGCTGATGTGATAGTAGTAATCATTGTGGGTAATCAGTCTCTCCCCTTCTGACATCGCCATTGCCTCAACACTATAAGAGGGTTTCACGTGACTAGTTGTTCTCATTGCAGTATGGTTTTGATGCAATGGTGTATAATGGTGAGGCTATGGACCATAATTTCATTCTTACAGACCAGTGGTGGTCCATGGATCACAGGTTGGGAACCACTGTTTTAAATAAATGAATTGCAATATTTGTTACTGTCCAAGGTACCTCACACGTCTCACCCAGATGTGACATTTCAGTCAGTCCTCCGCATTTGCTGGGTTAGGGGTGCAGAACCTCATGAACATAAAAAAGTGAATAGAAGACTTGGAGTTTTTTTTTTACTTGTAAGAACATCTCTCTAGAAATCTCTAGGTCATCCAGTCCAACTCTATGGTCAGCTTCTGCCAGGAGCTGGCCATAGAATTGCAGTTGAGGACCTAAAGATTTTGAAAAAGGTGCTCGTTTATTGATCTGTATGTCATCCAGTGTGACTGTATTGTCAGCCCCACTAGCATTATTTTAGCCTCAGCTTGAAAATTTCAAAGCTCATTGCCAATAATGAATACTGTTTTTTTACAACTACTTATTACCATTTAAATATTTCTTCCCTTCTCCTTTGCCATAGTCTTGGGTTTGAAAAAGTTTCTTTTTGGATGACAACTCCAAGAATATGCTTGCTTGGGCATTTGGGGAGTTATACTTCAAATACTGAAGAGATGTCCCCTGTCAAGACAATTGTAGTAACCCACAATCTTGTTTTTTTTTTTAGGCCAATAGACAAATTGAAACAGCAGGAGGTTCAAAGTCTAACAGCATCATCATTGCTCTAACAGATGGGAAGTTAGAAGGCTATATACCACAGTATGCCGAGAAACAGGTAAATGTTAAATTGTGGCAATGCCTCTTGTTAAGTTCTGTTGTGGAACATATCATTTATAGCAGTTGCATGCAATCTTCTTTTCTTTCTCATTCTTTCTCTGGGATAGGCAGCTATATCCAGAAGTTTAGGAGCAAGAGTTTACTGTGTTGGTGTCCTCAATTTTAACCAAGAACAGGTAAGAGATTTTTATGTGGATTTTTTTATTCTACTATAGCAGCAGAATTGGCAATTGATATGCAATTCAGCGTGTTTCCAAACTTTGCTGTGTACATAATTTGCATTTGCCAAAATGTGGCCCAGAGAGTACTTATGGTCCCTAGACCCCCACATTTTGGCCCCGAATTCCCCAGTCAGTCCTATATTGACTACACTTTTTAAAGGGTTTTGTGTAACTTCCACAAAACCATGAAGAGCTCCCAAGTCCCCAAACACATCGAAATATATGGAAACAACACACCACACTGTTGCAAGGATCCCAAGACCCTCTACTACTCCCAAATGTTATGGTGTCACTTTCTATTACAATATTGAGAGACAAGGAAGAAAATAGGTTTGAGTTGTTATGCTAGTTGGGATGCTTCTGTAAGAGGTCAAGCAGTGAAAACTTTCTTACATTTGATAAACACAATGGAATGAAGCATCGGATCCTGAGGCAGGAGACTTGCATGTGCAACTTTAGGCTGCATGTAAAAGTTATAATTACTCATGCAACTTCAAAGCTTATCTATCTGAAAATAATAATTTAAAAAAAACTTTTCTAAAAATAACAACTTTTTAACTTTAGAAATAATTATTTTTAGGATAGCATGGAATAGCAATTGGTGTCAATTTTTCTCTTCATGGGACATAAAGCCATATGATGGCACACTGGAAGCAACATTTTGTCACTTCTGGTTTCCACTTCTACCAAATACTTGACTCCAAAAAGCCTTTAAAAACAATGTTGGGGTGTTTCTGCATGTGCGCTTGTTTTAGGATTTAGAACACCATTGAATCTGCATGTGGTTTTTAGATAGGAAATCAGACCAAAATCACTCTGAACCAAAAGTGGGAGGGAGCTGTGGTGGGCAGCCAGACAGCTTTGAGATGAGGCTCAGAGCCTATATGTGAGCCATAGGTTGCACTTTCCCCAGCCCTATTCCAAGATAACCTGTTTCCTGCTAATGTAGGTTTATACTGTATGAGACTCCAGCTGCAGGCCCATTCTGTCATCTCAAAACGTGTCCAAAAGAGAGAACTGATGAGCATGTATGAATAGTCAAAGCCAATTAGGAGACAAAGCTCCATATGCTTAAGGATGGCCACTTGTTTTGTTTGTTTTTAAAAGAGCCTAATATGTGTAGCTTTGTGTCCTAATTTGCTTTGGCAATTCAGAACTTGCCCACCTTTGCTGCATCTTTGTTTTTCTTTCTTGAGCAATTGTTGGACATGATGAAGGGAAACTGTTTTGTATAAAGAAAATCTGAGACTGCAGTTATATGAGGAAGAGGCTTATTTCTTCACTCACCAACTATGACCAGAATGAAAACCATCCTACACTCCTGTCTCAAGCTAAGAATTTTAGAAAAAAAGTTCTCATTGTAGTGCAGTGATTTCTGTCAAATTTTGTTTGTGGAGGAGTAAGAACATAAGCTTCCCCTCCCCTTTCTCTTCTTTCCTGGTAAGAATCAGCTTCTCTCATGCTGGTAATTAATTAAGGAAAAAATGATGCCATTACTATTGCATTCAGTCTAGTGTGCATTTTATTGATTCTCGTACACTCCAAGCTTGCGTAAACTGAGTCAGATGATTGGGCAACCAAACCAAATATTGTTACTTTTGAGCCACAGCAGTTTACAAGAGCTTTAAGCAAAGCTGTCTCTCTCTCTCTGTCTCTGGCCTTAGGGGCACGGTTCTGTCATGGCTCCGATCCTTCCTGGAGGGTTGTTCCCAGATGGTGAAGCTGGGAGATGCCTGCTCGGACCCCTGACCTTTTACCTGTGGGGTCCCACAAGGTTCCATTCTGTCTCCCATGCTCTTTAACATCTACATGAAACCGCTGGGTGAGGTCATCTGGAGTTTTGGAGTTGGGTGCCATCTCTACGCAGATGACACACAACTCTACTACTCGTTTCCACCTAACTCCAAGGAAGCCCCTCGGGTGCTGGACAAGTGTCTGACCACTGTGGCTGTCTGGATGAGGAGGAACAAGCTGAAGATTAATCCCGACAAGACAGAGGCCCTCCTGGTCGATCGTAAACCGGATCGGGGTATAGGGTGGCAACCTGTGCTGGATGGGGTTACAGTCCCCCTGAAGTCACAGGTCCACAGTCTGGGTGTCCTCCTGGACTCATCACTTACGCTTGAAGCTCAGGCGTCGGCGGTGGCCAGGAGGGCCTTTGCACAACTAAGACTTGTGCGCCAACTGCGACCGTACCTCGTGAAGGCAGATCTGGCCAGGGTGGTCCATGCCTTACTCACTTCCAGATTGGATTACTGTAATGCACTCTAAGTGGGGATGCCCTTGAAAATGGAAAACGGAAATTTCAGTTGGTCCAATGGGTGGCAGCCAGGTTGTTAACTGGTGCTCCTTACAGGGAGAGGTCAACCCTCCTGTTTATGAGCTCCACTGCCATTCATTTTCCAGTCCCAATTCAAGGTGCAGGTGCTTACCTATAAAGCCCTAAACGGTTTGGGACCCGCCTACCTGCGTAACCGCATCTCTGTTTACGAACCCACACGATCTCTTCGATCATCTGGAGAGGCCCTGCTCACGATCCCACCTGTATCACAAGCTCAATTGGTGGGGACGAGGCACAGGGCCTTCTCGGTGGTGGGCCCTCGACTCTGGAACTCTCTCCCTAAGGATATCAGGTATGCCCCAATGCTGGCAGTTTTTAGGAAGAGCTTGAAAACCTGGTTGTTCCAGTGTGCCTTCCCAGAATAAGGAAACTCCAAGCAATATGTCCCCAAATGCACTTTACTAGAGATCCAGGATGTCTGCATGCCCCATCCCCCTCCAAATGCCTATCCTTTTCACCTGGTCATTCCCAGCATATTTTAAAAATTTTAATTATTACATTTGCCCCTGCTATAGGTTTTAATGCATCGTGGTGTTTTGTTAATGTGTATTGCTTTGTTTTTATTGTTTTGTTTTTGAGTTCATTTATTGTCCTATTGTTGTTATTGTTGTGTACTGATGTATTTGGGCTCGGCCTCTTGTAAGCCGCACCGATTCCTTCGGGAGATGGTAGCGGGGTATAAATAAAGGATTATTATTATTATTATTATTATTATTATTATTATTATTATATAGTTGGGATACAAGTGGGACATGAATATGGGAAAATTATTTGGTGAGGATCCAGAAGAGGGAAAGAATTATACATTCCATTACAGCTTCTCTTTTTTCCCCTTGACTGTTTTACTTTGGTGTTGTTTGGGCTGCAAAGACATACTGTTTCTGAGCCGTATTCTGAGCAGCCTGGTGTACTGTGAGAACAGCGACAATGATAGCAGAAAGCCAGGCTCCATCTGCTTGTCTGGTTCCATGCTGTACGTTGCTTTGCTCTGAAATCCAATCAGAACTCAGAAAAAGTTCATTTTTTTGGACTACCACTCCCTGAATTTCCCAGTACGCGTGTTAGCCGGGTTGAGAGTTCTTGTAATTTTTAAAAAAACTTTCTCAAGTTCTGGTTCCCGCAGTATATGCACTCCTTCTTTTTGTGTAAATGCATAGACAAGTTGATTAGCCTGTATTGCTTTGCCAGATGTGTTTGTTTATTTCCCTAGCTTGAAAGTATAGCTGATTCAAGAGAACAAGTTTTCCCAGTCAAGGAAGGATTCCAAGCTCTTCGAGGGATAATTAATTCTGTGAGTATTTGGGAAAGCACATCTTGCTTAACTTTGAAGTTATGAAGTTCATTTGTTTGTTACTTTATTGCTATTTCTGTGGCTTCTCTTTTATGCTGATGACAAGCTGCTAGAGCTTTCTCTAGCCAGAAAGCGTCATTCCCAAAATATGCTCTTGTGTATTAGGTAGGTTAAAATGGTTTACGCAGGTATTCTAGCCTTTACAGATTCACTCTCTAAAGCAGTGTTTCTCAACCTTCCTAATGCTGTGACCCCTTAATACAGTTCCTCATGTTGTGGTGACCCCCCAACCATAAAATTATTTATATTGCTGCTTCATAGCTGTAATTTTGCTACTGTTATGAATTCTATCTGATGTACAGGATGTATTTTCATTCACTGGACCAAATTTGGCACAACTACCCAATATGCCCAGATTTGAATACCGGTGAAGTTGGGTGGGGGTTATTGTTTTTGTCATTTGGGAGTTGTAGTTACTTGGATTTATAGTTCACCTAAAATCAAAGAGCATTCTGAACTCCACCAATGATGTAATTGAACCAAATTTGGCACACAGAACTCCCATGACCAAGAGAAAATACTGGAAGGGTTTGGTGGGCATGGACCTTGAGTTTTGGAGTTGTAGTTCACCTACATCCAGAGAGCACCGTGGATCTGGACCAAACTTGGCATGGATACTCATTATGCCCAATTGTGAACACTGGTAGAGTTTGGTGAAAATAGGTCTTGACATTTGGGAGTTGTAGTTGCTGGAATTTATAGTTCACCTACAATCAAAGAGCATTCTGAACCCCTCCAGTGATAGAATTGGGCCAAACTTCCCACACACAACCTCATGCTTTGAAGGGACTCGAGCATGCCTGCTCTCTCCTCCTTGCTTGGACTCTCAGAAACAGCCCTCTTCTTGGCTGAGAGGCCGACCAATCACAACAGGAGGAGGATATTTGGTGGGAGTATCTTTCCAAAAAGGAAGAGAAAGACAGGTGGAAAGATCTTCTGCCATAGGGGTTCCTAAGACCATCAGAAAGACGTGTTTTCTGATGGTCTTTGGCGGTCCCTCTGAAACCCCCCTTGTGACCCCCTCAGGGATCCCAACCCCCAGACTGAGAAACACTGATGGGCTATTTCTGAGGATGATAATGATAACAGCAACGACAATAACAACACAGGATGTGTGAAAAATAATCCTCTTTTTTAGTGCACCTGGCCAACTAGGTAGTGCTAGTGTCCAATTTTCTGCCCCACCACTACCAAATGTACCAGAATATCCCATTTCCCCAGTTTCTTTTCAAAATGGTGACTGGAAATGGCTCTTAGCACTTTGAAAGAGAAACACAAGGAAAAACATTTGGGGTGAAGTGGTGGCCTTGAGGAGCCTTTGTGAGTCCGAGGAAAAAAGATTTTTTAGTATACATTTGGGTGAGACTTGGAGGCAATTCTAATCCAAAATTTCCAGTTTTTAAAGGTGAGGGATTCGACTGGGTATAGCAGACTCATGGGAAGAGCTTGTGGGCTATATAACAAGCTCAGAGGCTGCATATGACTTACAGGCTTCACCGACTCCATCCTTGTTCTGTGGGCTATACTAGGACTGAAAGCAGATGAAATGAATAAATGCTAAACATAAACAGAAGTTGTGCCTGGCTTTGATTTTGGAAATTTGAGCTTCTAGGAGGCAGGGATATATCCTACAGCTTTTTTGTATGAAAAACTGATTGCTCCTAGAGGCTTCTAGGAGCTTGGAAAACAGCACTATTTGCTAGGTTTTCTTTTTCTAGCAGGGTAAGATCAAAGTTGAGGTTGGCCTGGGCCCACAAAAAAGCCACAGGGCCACATGGTGCATACAGTTGTATTTTGTGCAGAATAACTGTAGGTGTAGCAATTCCTTCTGAGATCCATTTTAAAACTCTCTGATAGAGTCCTTTCTGTTTGTTCAAGTTGGGAGTGAGAAAGAAGAGGTTGTCTCATGCCAAGATGCTGAGATTTGCTGTAGGGAGAAGCAGTGCAAGGAACAGATTGTGTACTTTTTGCCATGCTCTCAGCTTGCATTGACTCATGTCACTCTCCAGAAAAAGGACTTACTTTTCAGTTGCAAAATCTGCAATGATTATGTGGTATTCCTTCCTGGAATTGTTCAAGTGGGCTGGTAGCATGGACAAAATAAATGCGCATTTGATCAAATGGAAGATGAAACTTGTGGGAAAGGGGGCAAAGGAGAAGGAAAACAATAAGAATTTGAGAACGCTGTGATGTGTCAACTTAAATATGAAGAGAGGTGGCATGTCTATAGGAAGAGAGACGCATAACATGGTATTTCTTATTGACAGTACCTGTAGTCTGTGTTTAATTCCTAAAGCATATTTTTAAGGTTAAGCATTGATATAAAATCTTTGGTGTAGAGATGGTAAGTGAGCAAATGTTTTAAGGCTCTTCATGTTGAAATTATGGATATTCCTTTGCTTGAAGAAGAGTTGCAATGTGAACATTGAAGATCTGGATGTTAGTTGTTTGTGTATCAAGACATATAAGCTATCCTGTGCCTAGAAAAACTGAATTCTGTAGTGAATATACATTCATTCAAAGGGAGCAAGCCATGAATGCATGTAATCCTTATTTCATGAATGGAGAAGTGTGAGTCCCCAGATGTTGCTGAGCTGCAGTCCTTAGGATTCCTCATTAACTGGGTATCCTTTCTAGACCTGATGGGGTCTGGATTCCAGTAATAATATCTAGGCCACACACTCCCCAACTTTGCTGAACTTTGTGTAAGGTACTTGGCTTCTGTTAGTCAGTGGGGATTTCTGTTCTGTACTGTTTGGTTTGATATGTCTGAATGTTTACATCTGGTCATTCAGCTGGCACATAAAACACAGATCCAAATATGAATCCGTATTTTCTTCTGGATCTGGTGCAGTATATTTACTGAACCATGAATGTGGAGGGGTCTCAGTTTGAATGTTTCTTCTGCTGAAAATGCAGAGTTACCTTAGGCAAATCCTTTCCTCTCCTTCTCCCTCTCCCTGCATAACAGCCTCATTATTTTTACTTTCAGCATGAAATACCATTGTAGGGACTTAGCTTGTGTATGTGCCATCCAGTTGGCTGTCACTTTATGGCAATGAATTTCATAGGTTTTCCTTGGCAAGGGATATTCAGGATAGTTTTGCTGGATCCTTCTTCTGAAATATAACCTAGAACATCTTGTATTCATTGATGACCTCCTATCCAAGTATTAAACAATGCTGACCCAACATATCTTCCAAGATCATATGAGTTCTGGTACCTTTAGTGCATTTAGGTCCTGGGGCTCAGCTTCCAAAGTTGTCATTGTTGTCGGGATTATAGCCAAATAATATCTGTTAAGATGATATATTGGTTGTCGAAGGCTTTCATGGCCGGAATCACTGGGTTGCTGTAGGTTTTTTCGGGCTATATGGCCATGTTCTAGAGGCATTCTCTCCTGACGTTTCGCCTGCATCTATGGCAAGCATCCTCAGAGGTAGTGAGCTCACTACCTCTGAGGATGCTTGCCATAGATGCAGCCGAAACATCAGGAGAGAATGCCTCTAGAACATGGCCTTATAGCCCGAAAAAACCTACAACAACCCAGATATATTGGTTGGTGAAAAATGTACATGAAACATAATATTTGATGGTGGTTAATGAATGTTACCTCTTTTTAAAACATTGGACCTTTTAAAAGTAGGAACATGAATATGTGACATTCCTATGTATTGAGATGATAGCTTAACTTACTTTGACTGGTCTCTCACACGACATCTGGTACTCACTAAATGTCTGATGTTCATTGGAAAAAGTGATAGTCATTGCTGGAACCCAGAGCAAGCTTGTGTTTATAGCAGGAGTGAAAACTATGAAACCCTGCAGATGTTGTTGAACTGCAACACCTAAGAAATGGTGAGAAATTCTGGGGGTCCCAGTTTCACAACAATTCAAGGACCAAACAGCTCCTACTTGTTCTTTAGAGGTTCTCAGTGTTGTTCCAGGAACAACTCTTTTCTTGGGTGAGTTTTGATCAACACTTGCCAGAGCGACCTGTCCAAGGTCTTGACAGGTACACACAGTTTGGCACGATTCCGCTCACTCTAGATGTGCTGATAGACATTGTGTAGCTTGATATGAGTCCACTCATATCTGATGACCAGTAAAGCATAAGTGCTCTTAACATTGTTTGGGAGTCTTGCTCCAAGATAGCAGATAACAGGGCTGTCATCTGAGCCCTAATTTACCCCTTCTTGGCTTTTCATGCAGGGATATTCAGAGTGAATGATATCACATTGCATGTCTGGAAGCCAAAATTATTGGGCTGATTCCCTGATGAAAACTGGGGAATCAACAGCTTAAATGTAGCCTGTGTATGTAAGATTTCATGCAGAAAGGGTGTCCTGATGTGGCGGTGGGCCTCCATTCTGGTTCAACCTATAGTACATCCTATACCACTCCAATAAGTCCTCTTTCACTGTTTTCCCCAAGATATAACATATTCTTACATAAGATATAACTTTGCAAGAGAAGTGGTATGCTGAGCTATCTGTCAGTAGCACTGTTTTTTTCTGTTTGTTAGAAACTTGGAATAGTGTTGTCTTGCTCTTCTGCTGAAACATCTCACTAACTTTTTAGAAACGAGGGAACATATCCTTGGCATCCATTTATGTCTTCTGATATATTTGACTTACTGAATGAATTTTAATGCATTTCACTGGCTTGGGATGGTGCAAAATGTACTTACAAAGCTGCCAATATACATTTTAGGCTGAAATGAGATGTATAATTGCAGTTAACATGACTTCTTGTATGCCTTCAATGCTATAGTGAACCTATTATGGTTTTTTTTCTTGGCAAAATTATCTTCCTCTAAGGCTGAGAGAGTGTGACTTGCCCAAGGTCACCCAGGTGTGTAGTAAAAATATTGTATAGTTATATTGTTAAAACACAATTGCCCAAATTATAATATTTAATCACCATTGAGTTAAAAGGCA